TGTACCCTTTTTTTTTTTTTTTAATTTTAAAGTTTTTTTGTCTGTTTTTTGTTTTTGTTTTTGTTTTTTATAAAGCACTTTCTCTTGTAATTCGTTTCAAAAAGGAAGCAAGAGGAAAGAGCCTTGGACGCCTTGGCCTTGGAGGCCGAACAGAGCGGCTTCCCGTCCTTGGCCAAGCCCCGCAAGGCCTCCCGCTCGCTCCTCACACATTTCGTAGTTCTGTTCACCCGGCTTTGCCAGGGAGACTTTTGAAAACGTTAAGCTTGTTCCTGAGCTTGCGGTTTGCGGAGTGGAGCATTGGATGTGGGACCTGGCCTGGGGGACGTGTTCTGGCGTTGGGGGCCATGCCTTGCTGTAAGAGGCCGGAGCGGGGTGGGCGTCCTGCGTGTCCGGGGAGGGGGAGGCAGGTCCCCGGTAGGTTTCCAGGTGTGGTGCAGACCTCGGCCGCAAAGGGAAGCCCTGGGGCGCCAGGTCCTGCCATCATGGCCTGCCTTGCGACTCTTTCCCAAACAATTCATTTCCCTCCCGCTTTGCCCCTTCCACGCGCACGTCCTTCCTCCAGCGCCTGCAGCACCCACCTGCCCTTCCCCTTTCCGGAGAATCAATAACTCGATCTGATCGGCACATATTTGCCCCTGCAGAACGCTGATGTCCAGGCTTGGGACCCTGGCCACCCTTCCAGGAGAGGACCCGCACAGTGAGCCTCTCCCCTGGGAGCCCGTCATCCTTGGTCCTTGCGGATGGGAGACCGAGATTTCGCACGCCATTCGGGTTACCTGCTGGGCCTTTTCTATGGAGACCACAGCCGGGGACCCCGCCAGGTTCACCGAGAGCCGCAGGCAGGGGGAGGCCCTGGGTGCAGGGTGCTGGCACCCCAGCGGGAGGGGCGGTGGACAGAGCGCCGTGACCCCTCAGCGCGGGCCAGGCGGCTTTGTTGGGAGGATTCTGGCAGGCCCAGCGGGAGCCCGTGTCTGCGATTTCACACCGGAGGTCCATTCTTCCTAGCCCAGTTTTGAGGGGGTGATCAGGATGCACCTGGCAGGGAAGGGTGGACGCCTCAGATGACCGAAGCCGGCTGTGGGGGAGGGGGGTCACAAAAGTTGGCCGGCTTTAGGCCGTTCTGGGGCCCAGATTTCAATGGGGCTCTGTTTTTCTTGGGAACTGTTCTTACCTATAAAATAAGCCTATGTGTGAGGGAGTGGGAAGAGGGGGGTGGTGATGTTTTTCTTTTAAAAAAGCAAAAATAAAAAAATAACAAAGTGCTGTGTGTGCATGAAGTGGTTGGAGGTCCCGGGTCTGGGGGATGTTGGCCAAGCCGCTGCTCCACCCGCTCGGGCCTCAGTCTCCCTGGCCTTTAAGGGATACATTTAACGACCACGAGTCTTGCTCCCACTTCCTCTCAGGTTGTGGGGATCATGGGAGACGGGGTGAGAAGTGCTCGCTGTGCACACACTAGGTGCTGTCCTTACTCCCTGGGAAAAAACCCCTACTGTGAGGCTGTTTTATGATGAAAACTTAGCTACTCGTGGGGTGCCTGGCGCTTATTGAACTCCTGGGGCGTTTTTTTGTTGAGTTGAACTGTGTCAAAACCCTCCACAGCGCCTATAAGGAGGGCGTGGGCCGAGCGTGGTGAGAAATTGGGCAAAATAAAGATCACCCCCATCCTGTCAGGCCTTCGAACTTGACACCAAGGTGGCCCCCAATCTGGGGGGTTGGATTTGGTGGTTTGGAGACCCTCCCCCTCCCGGCGTAGACGCTGGACTCTGCAGCTCACCCAGCCCCGCTTGGATCAGGATCTGTGGGGCCCAAACCCCAGCCCAGTCCGCACAGTTGTTTCTTGTCTCCAGAGGGATCCAGAGCCGCCAGCGGAGAGGCCCCAGCCCCCCTACCCTGGCCTCACTCTCTAGTGCCGGCCTCGCTGCTTTTGTCCGAACGACGGTGAATGAGGTCAGCTTGGTTGGCCACCCAGCAAACACAATTTTGTCTCACAGGGAAAGCTTTTCTTTATCTGAGATCGGTCCTTGTTATCTACAGCAGGTTATGTTTTCACTGTTTTGGGGTGTTTGCACGCGTGTCAAGAAAAGTGAGTGACCCAAAGAGAGCACAGGTAGGGCCTGCCCTTCCCCTGGCTCGGGGTTCCACCGGCACCCCAAGTCGGCCTCACACCAGAAGGGCAGCAAAACTTTTATTTCTACACACACACACGTGCATACACATTCATGTGCACACACACATTTGAGTGCACACGCACACACACACGTGCATACAATTCATGTGCACACATACATATTTGAGTGCACGCTCACACACACACACACACACACACATCCCAGGATGTTATCTCGTGTTGCTAACATTTAATGTTCTAATATTAAAGTTTGAGGCACCAACGGGGCTGTCTTAAAAGGCTCATTCAGCCTGTCTGCCTCGGAGCTATTTTATTTATGTCTTCTTGTCACGCACGTCAAAGAACCCTGTGTTTCTTGCAGACTGCGTTCGGGTGGTTGAGTGTTTTGGCTTTTGGCTACAGCTGGTTAATTTTTCCGAATCTGTAGATCCAGGTGTGCGTTGAGAAGTTTTCCCCCAGCATGAAAAGTTTCCCAGTGAGGCTTGGAGGCCTCCTAGAAATTTCCGGAGTCCTACGTGCGAGAGACGGCCAATTTCAGAGAAGTTATGAGAGTGGGGGGACGGAGGCGCCGGTGCCTGTGTCCACGGGCCTCCTCCCAGACGAGGGGGCTGGGAAGGGCCCCACTCTGGAAGCCGGATATTTAGAATGCAGAGTTGAAAAACTGGTTACTAGATAAGATATCAGCAAAAGCACCAACGCTTGATGATAGTGAAAAAATTCCTGCCTGGGAGCATCCTCGAAAACCAAGCTCGGAAGTGAAAACGCCCGGCCGCATCGCTCCCCATTTGGAAACACATTTTATGAAATACGTGTTCAGTCTTTGCTACAGAAATGAAAAATAAAAGACTGGAAACTCCTTTCAAAAAAAAAATTAAATACAAATAAATAAAAACCACACGTTCATTTGCAAAAATGACCTAGGCTCTTGTTTTCAAAACTCACGTCACCCACCCCCTTGCTGGATTCTTTATGTTACCACCGTCTTTTGGTGAAAAACAAAAAAGAACTTCAAGTTCTTTTAAAGTTAGGAATCTCTCCCAAAGTTGCTCTGTGCGTAGCCAGAAACGAGGCAGAACAAAGGCACTGCTTTTTTTTTTTTTTTTTTTTTT